AAGAGGTAGAAACTTTCAAGTATCTGGGTAGCGTCATCGATGAACGTGGAGGATCGGATGCAGACGTAACGGCGAGAATTAGCAAAGCAAACACAGCATTCATGCAGTTGTAAATTATGTGCAACTCGTAACAACTGTCAACCACCATCGAGGTCAAAATCTTCAATACAAACGTCAATATAGTTCTATTGTACGGAACGGAAACACGGAAAACTGTCACACTCATCATCAAAGCAGTACAAGTATTTATAAACAATTGACTTCGTAAGATACTGAATGTTCGTTTGTTGGATACCATCAACAACAGCCTGCTGTAGGAGAGAACAACCCGACTTCCAGCTGAAGAGGAAATTAGGAAAAGACGTTGGAAGTGGATCGGACATACATTGAGGAAATCACCAAACTGCATCACGAAGCAAGTGCCAACTTGGAATCCTGAAGGGAAGCGGAAAAGAGGAAGGCCTAAGAACCCAGTGCGCCGAGAATTATAAGCAGACATCAGTAGGATCAGTAGCAACTTGAAAGGATTACCCAGGACAGAGTTGGATAGAGAATGCTAGTGGTTGGTCTATGCTCCTCCTCGGGAAAGGGGTAACAAGCGTAAGTAGGTAAGCAAGTATATACAATTTACAATACCAATGAATAACTAACATAATTTACTGAGTTGAATATTTGTTCCCAAAAACCGTTTCTTTCAGTTTGAGTCCTGGTTACTAGAAAATTTGTACATTTTTATTCTGACTGATTTAAATTACTTATTTACTTGATCTCTGTTAGATAAATTGTTTAGTAGGCAGTGCAATGGAAAAATGGTCTTTATTTCCTAAAAACTCTTTTTTTGGTCAATTATAAAAGCTCCTAACTTTTATAGCATCAGCTGAACTGAATTTGTTTTCCAAGCTTTCAATTTGTTGATACAAAACTGATGTACATCTTATATCATTAATGGGTTATTAATTAGAATACTCTGATAATTTATCATGGTCAACAAAGATAGTTTATTTAAATTTTCAAAATAATTAAGCCTCCAATATTATAAACTATATGTCACAGTTAAAATAATAAAAACAGTTTCAGTGCTTTTTCTATTGCTGAAAATATATTTCACTTTATTGGAAAAGTTCACATTTGTAGCTGAAATCCATACTTAGTTATTACTGTCAAAATTAATTGCAAAAAATGCCTGAATGAGATTATATAGTTGAGATCATGAGTCAATCGAAGCTAGACCACCATGTAAAACCTGGAAGCACTGGACGGCCTTCTCGTCCTATTGTGGGACTCCTCAGCAGTGCGTATCCACGACCTCGCCTCGCGAGACTGGAATCCAGGACCTATCAGCCTAGAGCGCGAGCAATTAACCGATAGACCACTGAGGTGGCATCTGACGGTGCTAATGTCTAACTTTAACCAATCCATGAGTTAGATTAATTGAAAAGATTCAACATAATGTATAACATTGAACTGCAAGTATAAACCATTGTTTGGTCTAAAAACAAAGTAATCGAGTCAAACCACATTTCATCACTTTAAGTTATCTAGAATCAGAATTTGCATTAGACCAAAGTTATACCTGGCAATCTTTGACATGGCAATAGACACAATTCAAACTTTTTATTATGATGAACTAATTCTTTTTTTAGTACTGTCACGTTTTTATTGAAAATCAAATCATGTTCTGAAGTTAAACTGCCAACTATAAGTTGAATCACGTTTTTTTCACTCATGATACATCCATAACTCTGACATCTAATGTATTAATAAAAAAATACAAACAAATAATACGTTTATTTCGCTCAACCAAAATGTTTGGGTATATTATAAATTTCTTTTTTAGATCAGTAATTTTGATAGAAACTTGAATAAATAACAGAAAGGTAGTTCGAAAAATTTATTAAACCGTCACAGTAAATATAGTCTATTATAAACACTTAAATAGAGAACGTTCATTAATGTGCACGATAATGATTGATTTTATGAAAGATTTATTTAAACTTTTGCTGACCTACAAATAATAAATATCAGAAGGGGTTTTGTGGAGATTTCAGTATTTTTCACAGTTGAAATCATGAGTCAATTGAAGTTAGACCACCATGGAAAAACTGGAAGCACTGGACGGCCAACTCATCCCATTATAGGATTCCTCAGCAGTGCGCATCTACGATCCCGCATCACGAGCGAAATTCGAACCTAGGACCTAACAGTCTCGCGCCAGAGCACTTAACCGATAGACCACTGAGCCGGCATCCAACAGTGTTAATGTCTAACTTCAACCGATCCACGAAGTTGAGCAACCGTTCACCAATTGTCTTCAGTGAGTTTATATCTCACAACAGACCTAGTTGAACTCCACTGGTTACTGCTTCTTATTAGAACTCCAGGAATTATCTCTTGAAGTCAGTCACTAGTGAGCATATGATTATTATCAGAAGGGGTTTTGTGGAGATTTCAGTATTTGAGGAGTCCCATAATAGGAGGAGTCGGCCGTCCAGTGCTTCCAGATTTTCCATGGTGGTCTAGCTTCAATTGACTCATAATTTCAAATAATAAATACCTTATAGGAGCAATTTAGTTTATATTGCAAAACGTTAAAATTCAATTTTTATTCACTAGAACATTACAAATATAATATTTACATTGTAAACAAACCATCTAATATTCAATTTATTTAACATTATCACCGTCATAACTTAGTGGTTGTGTCTTTAGGACCAACGAATATTTGTCTCAATTAAACTATATACTTTTCTAATATTTCGTCTTTTTTCTACAGTCCTTGATTGTAAAATTGTTTTGCTATGCTTCCATAATTATAATGAATGGTAACTTTGAGATCTACTTATGAACCAGTATTATGCATATATTTTTTATCATATAATTGCTAAATAACTAAACTATTCATACTCATGTCCCCCTTAACATAAGCTTTATTTTGAGCTATAAGCTATTGTTATACGATTTACCATTCTTCAGTTATCCCTAGTCGATTAATTACTGCCTCCCACATTCACAGCCACATTTCGCTGAATCGTGTACAAATGTTATTTTCTATTTTATTGGCACGATGCAGTCTGTCTGTTTGGTATATAAACTCAGTATGTTTGAAATACAATGATTCATAACGCAGAGGCTGTTCTGGACTTAACTGGCTGGGCTAGGCAGAAGCAGGACCGATACGTACTCTAGACTGTTCGTACGGTTTTGTGTGTCACTGTTCCAATCGATTATTCGCTGCTCTCTAATTGGCGGTTTGGTCACGTCATACGTTAGCAGGTCATCCACTTGGCCACAAGTTATAACATGTTTTATGTTTGCTTGATAACCCATAAGCTTACATAAATTCGTCAAACTTGGAATTTATCTATGTAACCAGAAAAATATGCATTGGTGTCTGAAGAGACTAAGGAAATTTGTTGAGTGAAAATCGTTGTTGATATGATATTGCATTCATGGAACTCAATGAGAATGTACTTGTAGTTTTTTTGATATTTGTACATTTTGTTCAAAACAGTTTCAGATTAGGTTTAAATTTTCTTCTCATATAAACAGTCAATTTACGCTGACTAGCATAAGTGTCACTGGTTGTTACTAAGAAAATTTTGTTAAAGTTTTTAGTTGTGGGTTTATCAATTATTTAGAACCTATTACTCGGTTTTAAACATTCATTTTCAAATGATTACTAAGTAAGTTAAAGCTTTATCAATGTGTTCCATTATCTTTAGTTGAACGAAATGTTAAGTTCCTAAAATATTCTCTAACATCTATTTTTTTATTCTTTATTTTTTGAAATTTGTAAATATATAGTATGTAAGGTACGTGGAAACAGTTTGGCAGAAAATCATTGACTTAGGATTTGAGCTTTTTGACACTTTAACGACGTGTACCTGTAATCTTCGGTTCGCCGATCAGACGCTGCATTTTTTTGTCTGCCGAACCAGTAGCAATTAAAAACTCAAACTTGATTTATATGCTCAGAAAGAGTTAATGATCAACTTTGGTAAATTCATAGCTTTGACTAATAACATTAACAATTGTTATTTTTATTATTCTATTTGTTTATTTTATCATACAGTCTTTGCCATACTAATTCTTATTTCATGTACACCAAAATCACTGTTTCATTCATCGGTATTTTTGTATTCGCCCAATTCTTTAAAATTATGTGGACGTTTCGAATCTTGTATGGTTGTTACGTAATCCTTCAGTCACTAGTTTCAGACAGTTACCGCCTCATTGCTCTAATTGTTCTACATCCATTTTCAAGCAATTGGAGTCTCATTTAAACTCTTCACAACTTCTATAATTATCATACCATCCATCTTGTCAGTCTCCAAACTCGTTATAATTACTACCTCATTGACCTATTTTTGAATTCCATCTTCAGTTTACCTTAGACTTGTTTTTCCATCTATAAATTTATACAGACAAGTTTTTTTCTCACAGTACATCTATTTTACAGATGCAAGTGTTTATAATCAATAGCATACATAACGTTACTTCTTGAAATTACATCATGACAGTATTTACGATCAATACTTTGTTAAACATCACAGATCATATATACTCTGTCTATGTAGAATCGTTAACAGAAACTTAAAACTTAACTTTAAGGTGTATAAAACTTATGTTATTGTCGTATTTCATGACTTATATAAATTGATTATAAAGCTTCACTGATTGATTGTACTGAATGTCTCTTATCCAAATAGCTGAACTCAATTAAAACAGTTGATATTTCTCATTATTAAACAAGTCACTTCCATTTTCATATAGTCTAGTATGTCTACATATGTTATGTGATAATCCTCATCATAAGAAGTTGAATTTCAAGTATATCGAATCACTTTTTTTAAATAGACATTAATATAACAGTCTAATAATCATTTCCAGAAAGAAGAAGTTGTTAATAAATTAATCATTGAGTTAACAGAGAAAACAAAATCAACTAATTTACACTTGAATCAATAATCTCTTCACAAAAGAAAATAATTTTGTAGAAATTATCTTGGTCCTGAACATCGATGAGTGAATTTTGTTACTTTACTGTTACTTATTTTTACTTGGTTATTCATGTTGTTGTTGTCTGTTAAAGTTGGTGATATGCAATAATTTTCATATTCCGAATGAACTTCATCAGATTTTGTTTCCATTAAATTTGGGGATGAAGATTCACTATCTCCTTGTCTATGAGAACGTTTCCACTTCATACGTCTGTTTTGAAACCATATCTTAACCTAAAAATTTCATTTAAAATAAAATAAAAATTTACAAACTGATCATGATCCACATTACTCAATTTATATTTTCGACATGTAGTTATTTATTTTAACAATTTATGTTATTTTAAATACCATACTCAATTGAAATAACTTTTTTTCATTAGTAAGAAATTAGATGGATGATATTTGAAAACTAGATAATCATTAGCAAAAGTTTCATGAACATTAGGGATCTCACAGAAATCTGCGACTAAGACTCCACACAGGTTATCGAACATAGAACTTTGAATTTCTAGGTCAACCTGATATCTAAACTATTGTACTGAAATCCTGTCGTCTGAAGTTTCACTTTCATAGAACTTGTAATATACCTCCATTCTCATTTAGTTCAATTGATTCTCTTCTATTTCATTTATTCTCGATTGTTATCACTTCTACGGTCACCGTTTCTCATTACAACTTCAGGAAATCTACTTTTTGTCTAGTTAGAAGTGATTGAGTCATATGTATTGGTATCATTGTGAAGAGCTTTTCAAACAAATTGATGAAAACTTAATTATAAATTTTAATCAACTATGTAGTCTCAAAGGCGGTACATAATGTTTTTTTCCGACTAACGTCAGCTAGTGATGAAAATTATTTTCAAATTTTATAATTTCTTGCCAAAACCACTTTTTTTCACTGTTTGTTGTGATCGATTTTATTCTGTCCACATTTTTTATAGAAATGTTTTGAACTTATCGTAATACATTTTTTTGCTTCAAAGGAACCGAAATCCCTAATATTATAATTATTTGCAACAGACGTTTTACTAATTAATCATTTCAGCATTGAAATATTGGATAATAGCTGAAAAGTTTTTTTTTTTAATAGGACTACACAGTTTCAAAATAAGTTTTAGATTCCTTGAATGAACATCTGATGATGTTGAGAGTTTACTTCAGATTAGAAGACTATTTATTCAGATGAACAAGTTATTGAACTGTCTTTTCAAATAGTTGTTATTATTGTTATGAAAAGTAGTAATTAGATCACTCATGAATAGCTTATTAGTAAAGGTTATAAATAACATCAGTTGATCAGGCCTGAGTGAAAGTAGAAACAATAGTTTAATTTACAAATACAGTGAGATAATGAAAGATATCAATGAGGTATTTTCTTGTGTTCTGTTTAGATCAGATGAATACAAGAAGAACAATATGGAAGGACGTGAACAGTAAATAGTTGAAACAAATTATGATATAGACGGAAAACATCCATTAAAACATTAAATAAAAGTATTAATTATGCAATCAAAAAAGATTCATTATTTTAAATCATTTACAAGTAGAAATCTATCAAAGACAGTGAGGTATCTATTTCATTTGCATCACTAAGAATGTCATCATACACTAAATGAACTCATTCAGTCACTTCTTCCATCATAGTTTTGATTATTATACAAAGTGATATTAACCGGTCATTTGAGTAGTAGTTTTTTTGGAAATCCCATTTTGTAATTACATAATAAATAATTTTCTTCTGAAAGCAGATAATAAACTATTGATCGAAAATAATTAGATAAAAATCAACTTACCTGAGTTTCAGTTAAACCAAGAGAAGTAGCTACTTCAAATCGTTTCGGTCTTGATAGGTATTTATTCGATATGAATTGTTGTTCTAATTCCAATAATTGTTGACTAGTAAAAGCAGTTCTTGGTCTACGTGTTTTACCAATTAGAAAATTTGATGATAAGCCAAATGAAACAGCTGGATAAATGAATATGAAATTAAAGATAAAATAGACGTAAAATATGTTTATATTTCTTGTTTGAATAGTGTTTAAACATAAATTCTACTAGTTGATTTATATAAGTAGTATTGAGTAGTTCACATAAAAGTAGTTTTTACAATGATATTCAATAATTTAAATAAATTTGAAAGAAATTACGATATTTTGCAGTTGCTTTGTTCTAATTTAACAGTCTAAAATGATACGTAATATCGACACGGTGCAAAACACTAAATGAGTGTTTTCAGTTGTAGCTATTTTCTCCTTCTCATGTCATTTTATAACGTATATTTTCTTCAAAATTATTTATTATCCGTTAATGAATTACATCAAAGAGAATCTTTTGAAACTTAAATAAGAGAACGTAGTCAAATTGTATGTAATATACATGCTTACAGGCGATACTGTCTATCAGTTAACTCACTTTGAGAAATAATTATTGACCTAGGAGTTATGTATCATATTTCCGTCAATTTATGTTAATAATTAACTAAAGTTGAACGATATAGACTAGTAGATACAGACCCAACTATCTAAGGATATCATGGTCATTTAAAAATCTCGAGGTTCTAGGTTTGATCCCTGGTAAGTTGTTAGATGCACAATTCCTAAGTGTCTTGAATCAGAATGAAATAGTTGTTCAGTGCTCAATTGTTTTCCGGCTGAAGTTAGTCCGTGAAGAGAAGCATATTTCAAAAACGACAACATAAATACTTCAAACTTTACTTAATTATTTTTGTTACTCAATATCATTTATAAAAATCCAAATACTTTAAAAAAATGAATCTTAGAAAGTCACTTGACGAGCTCTTGAAATTAACATTAGTTGACTTGCTTTCATTTTATTCCAGTCTTTATAGCTTCTCGGTTTGATCTATTATTCATATTAACATGGTCTGTTATAGCATCAGAAAGTGTTGATACACTAGAAAATTTGGAAACTCCACGGGAAATATTTCTACATGTGTTACTCATCTGGGGATACAACTTTCCTATGCACACTTTTTTCTTTCTCCTATAGATGTGTAAATCCCTGAATGAAACGTACTCACACTCGATAAGCCTTTCAACCTTGTCAATACTTTAAAACGAGTTTTTGAACTACTCACAAGTAGTATAGTACATTTTTATAAGCTTTTAAGACTACAACTTATAAACAGAGCATGAGATAAAATCGGAGACTTTTTAGAGTTCACTTAGCCAGGTGATAGCATAAAAAGCAAGGTCTGATAATCTACCTTTTTTCCATAATTTGGCTTGACTAAAATTTCTAGTGAATATAAAAAAGGATTACGAAAATAAAACATTTGAAACACTGAATGAAGTCGACATAAGTGTAAACGCATTATTAAACTTTAGTTCGAATACTGAGACAGTGTTAAGTTCCAACAATATATTTTAAGACTAACCAGTAGAACTATCCACCTCCTAAAATTTTTAATCAGTTATCAGAAATCGATTAGTCAGTTATATGTAAACATCAGTTTAGAATAATTCCATTAAAAATTCACTTCTTTTCTGCAAAAGTTTGGATACATATTGATATTATAGATAAAATTTTACTGCCCTCCTTGAACATAAGTGTAATCACAACAGAAACAAAAAGTTAGTGAGCAATAATGATTAAATACGTACACTTTACAGGAGACTGAAATATTCTATGAATTAGCCAAGCTTGATCACTTAACCATGTTTCTAACTTGAAATTAATAAGCTCGAATTTCTATTTACTACCAACACAGACGCTCAATCATAAGCTGATTTAAGATTGGACAAAAGTAAATACAACACTGTCATGCTACCTGACCAGTTATTAAAGTTTTAAACTACATAGTAATGAATAAGAATTTAGATTTGATATCACAAGTTGAATAACATTTTTATTTCTAGTTCATTAGTATTTTGTTATCCGTGAAATCAGAAGATCTTCGAATCGATCCTAGTTACGACATTCTGTTAGTTGCAGGTAATACGTAACTAACTAACACTGTAACGAGGTAATGAATCTTTAAATTACTTGGCTTTACAAAGATTTTAATTGGCAGGTCTCTTCGTATACTAAAGAAATAAATTACACTACGGACTATCATAAAAATCTTATTCGTCTTCTAACAACTACATTAAGTAGAGTTAGGTTTAAATTACAAGTGAAAATTTAGAGCAACGTAACTAAATGTTTAAAGATATTTTTGGCCATTGACTGATATAAGCTAGTGGACCACTAGTGAACTGTTCCAAACAAGTCTGAAGGCTATCTAATAGTAAGCTCCTATGACCCAACAAGGATATTCTCCTTACACCTTTATGGATCTATCGTTTAGATAACATCTATGATTTCCGTCAACTCGTGATATGACACTAGAATTATCCAATATAATCAACAAACGTTATTTCACCCCCAACGTGGTAAAACTCTCTACAAACTACACAATCAATTCGGTAAATATTGCTTTTATAACAGTTGTTTCAAGATGATTTTTTCACACTTTTCAATGATTATTTAACATCGTTTATTTTATCCTTCGATGGTTATTAACCTAGTTTGCAAGAGTTTGTACTTTCATGCTTACTGATGTTGAGGAATAAAGTCAATCAGTCTATTGGTAAATGTGCATACTAAACAGGTTACCTCAGTATGTTCGTGTAGTCACGAGTTTTAATTAAAGTTGATTAGTGGAGGTCAGTGTGAACCATGAAGCCTGTTTCACTTTGTTTGAGAAACGTCAGGTGGATGCACTTTGATCCCAGTGTTACACACTGACGTTCAAATCTAGCGCATTTCATGTCAAACACTGATATGTTATCCACTGAGCTACTGAGTCCAAATAGCCACTAGCTTGTGCAACGTGTGTTAGTCTCGATGAATAGGGGTGAATCAACCAATATTATGTGAGTTAAACACTCACCATTTAAGACTTATTTAATCCCAGATTGATTGCTTTTATGACCCTATTCATTCAATTGTTGTTCATGAAACTGCATCACTTTTTATATAAATATAACTGATGCTTTCTATTGATTCTTTTGTTGTTTCCCGCTACAGTTCAGTATACATGTCTTTATTGTCCTGTTTGTAATTGACCTTATTATTTTACGCCTTTGTATTAATTGTACTTATTTATATTTTAGAAACAGGTTATATGCGTTGGCTAAATACATTCACCTGTTTTGACTATAGCTCTGCTAAGACTTCGTGTATGACAATATAGGGACTTGCTCAAGAAATTCATATCTAGGCGAATTAAATCTTTCAATAAGTAGGAAGATAGACTCGTATTTTTCAGTCGTTAATATCAACAACAGTAAAATACAGTCCTTTATAAACCAAATTCATACACACTGCACACGCTAGAAGCTACCTAAACTCAGTGAATGACACGTTGGCGTTTGAATCGGTAATTACTGGGGTATGAGTCCCGGTTTGAACATCACTATTGCAGTGCAGACCCATTCAACTGATGAATCCCAAATAAAATGAAACTAGCTCTCTAATTTTCGTTGTTAGCTACCAACCAATAGTTTATTAACCCAATTAATATTCAATTTACAAGTGAAAATCCTCCAAGTGTAATGTTACTGTTCCTACTTTTTTCCCAGTTTCATATTTATGTTGGAAAAAATTAAAAATAGATCTTTTTCTTCATCCAAAACTTAATTTCTATAGGTAGAGAAAGAGACTAAGAAAAAAAATAAATGAGTATGAATGAAACATATTAAACAAACCAATTCGATACATGGAAACAATAATTTTCAGAATATTACATCAATTATCCGCTTTTCCCTTTAGAAATTTAGTATAAACACTCTTCATATTCTTCGTATTTGAATGAAAATAAGGAATATATTTATCCAATCAAAACGAGGAAGAAAAACACTCATATACACATATACACACAAACAAAGGGGTAGAAAATACAATGAAAACCATTTATATTTTTAGTAGAAAGAGAAGAAAACAAAATACAATAAGGAATATCAATCCCTTATCCCAATAGGCAAGACTAGTAACATAACTAATATATAACAAATAGATAGCTTAATGAAAACAATCAAATCTTCATCTATCTTTTTGTTACCTATTTATCAGTTGGTTCTTTTTTTGTCATTATATAGTTGGAGACAAAAATGATGCAAAATATCAACTAGGTAATGACATCATATAGATAAATAGATAGATATACTGAAATATACTGAAATCTCCACAAATCCCCTTCAGATAGATATACATACGATGTTTACAGTTAAATTTTTATTGAAAAAAATCCATTTTTACAAATAAAAGAAATTATACATAATTATAAAACTGATTGCCGCAAATCAATGTTGTTAAATGTATCAATATGTATAATTGTACTTTAAGTTATTACATTGAAAAATCAACGATAAAACTTGAAAATTGGTTTATAAATGGGGCAAAACAACAAAACACAATGACACAAGTATAAATGGCTTGTGTTAAGTTTTAAAATTAGCGTATGATTCATAACTTTTTTTAAAAAAGAAAAGAAATTATATTTTGGAACAAAAGGTATTAATTTATTTCAATTTTCAAAGTTGAATTCACGAGTTAATCTAAGGTAGACCATCATTGAAAATCTGGAAGCATTAGACGGTTATCGTAGTTTGTAAATTTTCTAAAGCTTACACTGGTCATTAGATGAATAGTAACCACAGTTATATTGTCCAGTTTCTGGTGTTGATTTTATTCTATTAGTCTGGACTTAGGTTTTTTATATTTGATTCTCTCTAGTAATATTTATTTTTAAGGGGAATAATATTATTCATAAAGTTATAACCAGTATCACTGAATATCATAATCAGAGAAGCAACCACTGTAATTTGATCATGTTATGTACTTTGATAATCATATTATAAACCAAATGATTCCATGAAGCTTGATCAATTTATACTATTTATTTTTCAGGAAGAATCAAAAGGACATTTTCGTGAATAAGCCCAACAAATTACCATGTCGTTC